TAAATTTTATTTACTAAAAATAATCTGAATGTGAACAAGGATCGAATTACTTTATTATTAGTCGTAAAACGAAACGGAGGAAGTATTAATTTGTCGGATGCAGTTTCGGTACTTTGTGATTCTTCCGGGTGTGGGAGGAGCTTGTAGTTGCTTGTACGTACAACACTGAATAGTATAGGCAGACCAGGTAAACAATTCAGTCCACTATTTCCATATTAGTGGAGGAGGCTTGGATGTGTGAATAAGTTTAAGGATTATCTGCCTTTTGTAGTTTATTATGGTTATGATTCAAAATATTTCCTTTTTGGAAAGATTAACTTTTAACTCTTTAAGGTTAATTACTATCACCCAGGTTTTTAATAAAACACTCTTTTGAGTTTTGCCCAAAAAAACATTAATACAAATATGCATTACTAATATGCATTACTCTTTTGAGTTTTGCCCAAAAAAACATTAATACAAATCCGCAATATAGTATTACTCTCTCCGTCCCCTTAACTTGATCCTGTTTTATCTTTTTTGTCCGCTCCATTAAGTTTGTCTCGTACCATATTTGGTAATATTTGGATGTTTACAATTCATTCTTACTTTATTCACATTTTATCCATTCAATACCAATCACATCTACGACTCCACTTTTCTTAAAAGTTGTGCCACACCCTCTTGTCCCAAACATATTGGGACAAGGGTAGTATTTTAAAAATAATAATCTCATACATACTATTGTAATATTAAGAACACTTCTCGTGACTCACAAACACCTTGATAGACAAAAATTGTAACTCAAAAATCAATTCTTTATTACGATAAGATTCATGTTGTTAAAAAAGACATAAGTTATTTAAAAAGTATCGTTGGATGTATACCTTTTAATCTTTTTATCTTCAAATAATCTGATAAAATGTTATATATCCTTTTTTATTTTCAAATAATTTTCCTTTGACTTATTATTTGCTTTTATGTATCAATACGTTTTTATAGAGCACTTCAATTATAAAATCAAAGTTGTTTTTTCATCATCTAAACTTTGAATGTAATACACTTAAATGTCGTCATGTATGTATTAATGACTATTTTAGCAAAAAATAGCCGCAGAACCCTATACTAGTGAAAAAATTGCCCCGAAAAACTAGCAAATTTTTTTCGCCCGGCTACACTAGCGGGAAAAAAAAATCGCCCCCTTGACTTGAAATTCGGGATCCGTCCCTGCAGATTCGATCAAATTTTTATGACTTGGTTTGAATTAGTATGTATGCATGTATAATTTTATTATTGCTGTATCTAAAAAATTGATGAGCTACGTTACTAGCCTGATTTCCCAAACGTAATCATGGTTGTAAATTGTAATACCTACTTATTCGACTTCAGTAATCTCAAATTAATCGACCTGACTGGAATCAATTAATAATTCAACTAATAATTTCAATTAATTCTTATTAGATGTTAGCAGATTTCATGAACAGAATATAATAATGCAACTAATAATTTGATTTAACATACTCCATTACTCCGTAGTATTAAGAGGGGCAAATTTGATACAAAGTTTGCTTATCATGTAAAATTTAGACCATTTACTCTAGACCAGATCACATCAAATTTAAATAGACACGATCAAATCAGACCAGATCAGACTAGACGAGCTAGACGAGCAAATTTCAGTTCAAAAGAAAACACGTTGATCAACTTATAATATTAAAACGTAACTCCAATTTGAGAAGAATGATTGAAGAATATATCAATTTACAAATTAAATAAGCTACTGTGTGTATTAACGGATGAATTCCAATTTACCCTTCGGGCAATCGAAGACTATTTTTAGATCCATCCCATAAAATAAATAAGCACTAAGCTAGGTAAAAATGTATATAAAGAACCAAATCAACCAATATATGATTATTACAACTCAGAAACTAGCTAGCAGGCCCTTCCAAACGGATATAGTCATAGATGACTCCATTGAACCGATACCCTCCTCTGCCTTGTCTCAAATATATTGCATTATCTCCATTCACTAATTCACTTCCTGGAAATTCATAACTTGCCACTGTATACCATCCATGAATTCCATGCCTGGCAATGGCATTGTCTCTTCCACCCCCTCCGTTTGTTGTGAATTTCGGACGTTGACTTGGATCGTTGACCAAAACCTATGTGCACACCATGAATGATGCATTTCATCATTTGGTCTAGCTAGCTATCTTACTCATAAAGAATAAATGAATGAATTGTTAAATCCCACACCGAAAATGTTTGAGTTAACGAAGTGCTATATTAATATCTTTTAGGATGGAACCTCAGATCTTAACATGGTATCAGAGCCAATTCCGGTTGTAGTTTGACGGCTCATTTAGCACCCATGATTAAGGGTAGCTTGTTAAGGGTTTGTTTGACCCGTTTATACATCCCGATATTGTCCAGTCCGATTCGGGCTGAGGGGGTGTGTTAAAGCATTTGTCACACACCGGAAAGTTATAAAATAATTAAACATTATATAAGGCTTTGAATTACTCCTCCTATCAGGTTGACCTTTTAGGATGGAACCTCGGATCAACATGAATAAACCAACCTACCTCAATTATGGCTAAGTTGGTAGCAGCTAATGCAATCTTGAGGGTGTAGGTTCCCGTCCGGTCAACGTTTTGGAGCGGGAATGAAATTTTCCATGTCGTCTGTTCGTATTCGTCGTCCCCAACTTTCCTGCAATCCGTCATATATAAAGGCAAAATTCATGTAAAAGTCATTGATTTTAGAATTAATCTATTTGTTCTGATAAATAATTATTTAGAAATAATGACAGGTATATATGACTGAATAAAGCGTTAACAATATCACTTTTTATTATACTTAAATCAACATAATAGTGACTTTAATTAGTTATCATTATTATGCTCAAATTTACACATAAGTGACAATGACGATGTACTTATTATAACTTTAATCACATTTTGTTCGCATAAATCGAGTACAAACCTGTTGACGTGAGCGAAAAACCAATCCTTACGATAATCACTACTTCCAACCGTGTAAGTCAAATCTTGGGAAGGGTATATATCTGAATAACGATCCCATAATCCATATTGCCGAAACCTGTAAGTTTTAATTTGGTTAGTATAAGATCATATATGTATGTATATATATATATATGTATGTGTTTTGAAAAGAAGAGTAGTGGCATATACTTTTCAGTACTGTTGAGCAAAGCATAGTTCCAGAGGTTAGGTGCAGGATCAGGGATGAAGAATTCTGCACCCTTTCTATCAGGGATGCCAATTTCCCATATTGTTGGGCCATTTCTGGGAGGATCAAACTCAAGCTCACCCAAACTTGTTTCTTCTCCAGGACTTATTATAATGTCATCATTGTTTATGTAGTCACCTAAGGTTCCAGGGGCCCACCCATACAAGTTATAAGTTCCAGATCTTACTGCACTGATCTCAAAATATCCATTATCATCTGTTTGTGTCCAAAATTGATAGCCCTAGAAAACATTGCAACATATTCTAAAACTGTTAGCTATATATATCCAATTGAAGAATAAAAGTTGACTTTTCTCAAGGGTCCAAACCTTGACATCTTGTTGCCAGTATTCATTTAATCCAGGTGTAGCAAGACCTACATAAGCATATTTTGCTGGAATACGATATGTACTTAGATACCTAAACATAATAAGTATACATAAAATTAAGTTATTGGAATACAAAATCATGTGAAATAATTGAAGAAATTCGAATTTTAAAATCACCTATCACGGATTAGTAATCGACCAGTAACTCTTCCCCGTTGGCTAGCACTTGGATAATCTTCCGACTTAGGGAAGTTGTAAGGCCAACTTTTAGTTTCTACAAACATCTAATAAGATTAATATATAGCAATATGTGATTAGTAATTATACAATCATAAGGTCACTTGAACAAAAGTACACTACAAAAAAATTACGGGATTGACACGGAATTTGGCACGGACTTACCGGTTTTTCGTGCCAAATAGCTCATGACAAAGTGTTTTTGGCACGAATTTGGCATTTCCCGGCCAAAATCTCTGTCAAATCCCTGCCAAAATCTCTTCCAATCCCGTGGCTTTTTTGTAGTGGTATTGGAATAAGTAATTACATATTGATTTTCCTAATAATTAAGTTACCTGCCGGTTGGCATCTGCCCAAAGAGATTTGGGATCATTGCCTTCATTTGAGTTGAGATAAAATAGCACAGGGCCAAAAACCTTTTTCCAGGCTTCACCATTTCGCAAGCTTACACCATAACTATAGCCGAAATAATGCCCGCTAAAAAATACCTAAACAATACATTAAAGACAAAATCATGAGTCATAAATTACAATTTACCAGTTGTAACTTTGTGCTTAGTGGTACTTAACTACTTATTGTAGAGATGAGAAAAGCATAATCTTACATACCGATAAGGCGGTAGGACCAACATGAGAGGTTAAGTCTTGTTTTATTGGCCCTCCGGAGCGAAACTCATTATTACCGGTGATGACCCAAAACCCAACGTGTGGTTTCGAACATATCCACCCATGTACTTTATTATCCTTATTTTCTTGCGAGTATTGGTACTTATCGTCAACCTAAATAATACAATGACACGTATTATTTCTATAATAACTATTGATATTAAGAGCCCGTTTGGCGACTTTGTTATTCAGCTTATCAAGCTTATCAGCCAACTTTTTAATCAAACACGCAACTTTTGATTTCGCGCGCTGTATTGTGTAATAATAAGAGAAAGTAAGGTTGAAGTTACTTTTCTGGCTGTATTGGCTGAAGTTACTGTAGATGACCATTTTACCTATTTTTTCATATAATTTTTCTATATTTTATTAATAAAATATATTTTAAATATAATTTTTCATAAATCAGCAAAATCAGCCAATACAGCCACTTCAACCAGAACTTCATAAGTTTCAGCCCATTAGTGTTAGCAAAGGAACTCAAAAGTCACTTTTAGCCGGCATAGAAAGCATATGTTCCACTAGTGCGGGTATACCTCTCCCTTCATATTAGGATTTGATGGATTGGTTAGTATAACAGCTTCTTTATAGTCGAGAGTTTGTCCAGTAGACCTATCATCATCACTTGGCATTTTTCTTTGTATGTCATCCGATATTGCCATATAGTTGAACCTGTATTGTATATTAACCACATATATGTTCAGAATTATCTAATAAATAAGAATATTTTCCTTAAAGAAGTTAAAAGATCCTTCCAAAGTTAAAGTATAACTTACAATCTCCTTTGTAGCTTGATGGCAACCCGAGCTTCACCAATATCAACATCAGGCCATCCTTTAAGGTGTTCAAAGATTGCATACGTGTAGAAACCCGACTCGCCGGGCAACATTACATACCTACAATAAATAATATTAATTAATTGTACTGATTATTTTTCTAGGTTTTATATATTTCATTCATAAGTTAAGTTCGAGGATGTTGACCTTAACAGAACGGATACTATAATAGTTTAGAAAGTTTTACCCGATAAATTTCATTCATCATAGCAATAAGCACATAAAGGGCTACATATCCTCACTACATATACATATGAAGTCCATTGAATTGAAGTCAATGATATATACTACCTCCGTTCTCTTTTAATTGCAACATTGAACTTTTTGCACTATTCACATATTCTACTTTGACTATATTTTATTAATTAATGTATTATAAATTAAATTTTTTAAAAATGTTGTGAAATTATTCTCATTCTAAACTTTCAAAATATGAATTTTTTACTAATAAGGAATGAAAGATATTAATGGTCAAACTTGTGTGTTGGCAAACGTGAAATGTTGAATGTTGCAATTAAAAGAGAACGGAGGAAGTATGTGTAGTACGTACCTTTTGTCGATGTTCAAAGGAATACTTGAAGGATCTTTTGAATCATAGTATTTTATGAAGGAGACTTCGATTTGATTTTCGTTTGATGTTATTACTTTGAATTGTGTTGCTGGAAGCCTACATGATTGTGCAAATATTAAGGCACATAACAAACTAACAATTGATTAATGAAATTGGTGAAATTTAAAACTTACATATCAAAGTTTGCTTCACCGCCTGGCCAATTCCAAACAATATCCCAATATCTGTCCAATTCAAGCACCATTTATTGAGAATAAATTGTTGAAAATGTATATATTAGGAATTCTCTAATTATATATCTAGAAGTATTTGTCGCAATTTTCAAACTTATACTTCGTACATACATAATATAGTTAATATTTGGTCATACCCTCTGTTTGTTTCTTTGTAACCATATTCTAGGAGGTTACGAATATTATGATACTGGATTTCTGCAATTTCTCCCGTTGGATTCGTCAATGTAACTTTGATGAAACCATTGTCCATCACAACCTTTAACAAAAACAATGCAAAATCATTTACGTCGTTAAAGTATTATCAATATCACGAAATTAAATATCGAACATGAAAATTTAAGAATCTATTACGGCACATTAATTTATTAGATTTAATTTATTAATGTGGATTCAAGTTCATGGAGTTTAGTTTACATGTGTATTAGTGATGTCAAGCCTCAATGACGTAGATGCTTTTAAATCTTGAGTGTAGTTTCCTGGAGTTGACCTGCAATTTCAAAGGGAAATTAAATAAAACGAAAACACCTAGTCGATATTAGTGTATGAGGAATCGTTGAATTATGATATACAATTATCACCACCCTAAAAAGATATTTACGAAATTATGTTATTACATTTATGCGTTTTATGTTACAATTTAACATATTTGGAACAAATAAAAAATGAATTTTTCTAATTATATGTAGAGTTATGTGAAAAAATTGAGTGATAAATCAATATCTAAATTATTCCTCCACTGAAAGATTCTTGTTTATGTGATTCACGTTTTTAATGAAAAATTCAATGATGATACAATTCAGACAAAATGTCTGGTCATGAGGACGGTGTTGAATTCTCACATTGGAAACATGTGAAGAAATTAAGTGTTATATTAAGATCTGGATTATTGCTCCTATCTGACTCACCTTTTAAGTGCTCTGATAACATGTTAAGACTTAATGTTTCATTCTAATAGGTCAACCGGATAAAGAGAGTAATTTGATCTTAATATAACACTTAATTTCTACACGCGTTTCCCGTGTGAGAATTCAACAAGTTAGTAACGTAACTACACATGTACACATTACACACACATATATATGAATATATAATAAATATATTTGTGTGTGGGTTTGTTTTAGACTAGATCGAAGTCCATATGAAAAGAATGAGTTTAATTTGAAAAATCAAAATAAGGTATGGGTACGTTGAGTTTGACCAGTATTTGATCCATATAATAGAGTTAGATTTAATAGAGAAAATTACCTTCTTATAGATACGAATAAAACTTAGCAAATTTTCTCAAACAGAGATACTAATTTTTTTGGGTTTTTACAAGAATATTACTAAAATAAAACATATTTACATAAATATTACTATTCATTACTATAATGTGGTGTTGTGATAACTTAAGCTCAAAACTTGAACATGAATGACTATGATTTCATTACTTTTCTAGTCACTAGTCATATTTTTGTAAATCATCTTTATTTTGGTCATATTTATGTAATTATTCCTAATTTTTTCCTCTCATCAAAAGAACTTATGAATTTCCAATTATTTTAATATAGGACTAAAATGTGTGTGTGTGTGTGTGTTTTAGTGTTTATATACATACCAAGTCATATACTTCAATAAGTTCAATTATGTATGATTCCTAAACTTCAATTATGTTCTTGAAATGATCAAACAAATTAAATCAAACCAAATATCTCGGCTTCTTAAAAGCAAATTAAACGCCACTCTGTAAGTTCAATGTTCAGAACATCGAATTGAAATTAACCTTTCAATTCTACTGAGTATAACGTACAGAATATAATTAACTCTTACTGTTTATATGTTTGTGCATGTATAAGGCTGTTAAATTTCTAAATGCTTATACTTCAAGCAATAACGTAAGTACAGAAAAAATAAATAATTAATATAGATACAATAAAATAAATTCGAACAAAGCTTTCCTTACCTAGTTGCATGAACATGAGGGGAGGAAGTTAAGAGCAACAAGCAATGAAAAACAACAAAGGACGACCACATAGTTGATCTCGTCTTGTTTGCCATCTTTTCACGCACAACGAACAGCAGTATAACCTAAGCAAATTATATTATTGTCATGTTGGTAAAAATTAATTATAACTTTAATAATAATTAATACTAGATTACTAGTACGTATAATAATAAGATAAGCATAATATAATGTTTGATAAAATGAAGAAGAAAAGGAAGAAGAAAACTAATAATCAAGGTCAAGAAATTAAAGCGTGGATACGTGCCTGGATGAGCTCTTTCGAGATGAAAGATCTGAGAAAATTAATAGCTGAGGAGATAGGCGTGGTGGGTATTTATAGCTCATATAAGGACATCTAAATTTTCTTACTTACTTATAATTTTATTAATTTCCCTTTTTTATTATTCCTTTAACTTTACCATTTCTTTTTAAATAAAAATTTATGTTTTTTGGTAAATCTCCTGTATCTCTACATAAGACTCAATGACACAATTTTTACTTTATTATTATGTATTTCTTTCGGTCGATTTTGATAAAGTTATAAGGAACGGATGAAGTGATTATAAATATGTGTGCCGTACTTATGACATATATTAGTACATTGTATTATTGATCCACATCATTAATTATTTCATTATTTATATTTTAATTGTTTAATTGTAATAATATTTTGATTAATCTATTAGTCGGTCCAACGGCACAAACTCATGCAGGAATTGAAACAATTAAGAAAGTACCAAAAGGACTAATACTAAGGATTTAGTCCTAATAGCATTTTATTCAATGTGTGCGTGGTTCCAATTCAATTCCAGAAGCATGCATATATTCAGGACTGACTTTTAGATATTTCCAAAAATACTAATCTCAGGTCGTAATATATACTTGTATTGTATTTTTCTGAGTAAAAGTCCTCATTCTATCCGAAAAAGACAACAATTAATCCCCCGGCATTTAAAAATTGACCGTTTATAACGTGTTCGATTGACTTGATTATTTTAGTACTCCCGACCAAATTAAATTACACAAGTTATATTTAAATAAATTAAATGAGGCTAGAATATACATAAATAGTGACCATGTAGATCATTTTTTACCAGAAAAGACCATTTAAAAGGCCAAAATCAGTATGAGAAGCAGCCGATATACCGAACACGAAAAAAAGATTTTTTCGTTGAAAAAAGAATTTTTTGTTTATATTAAAATGTTGAATGATGAAAATATCTTACTTAAAAACATGCATTTTGCATTACTTTCATCTAATTAAAAATATTCACTTTATATTGTGGTTATTGCACGACATTACTAATGAATCAACAGAAAAAGCATTACTAGTTAAAAATTACTACGCTTCCTGCCAACATTAATTCTTAGCGTCCGAATTATTAGAGTGCATACTCAAAGTTTTTAAAAATTAGGTGCAAAGTCCAATATCACATTATCACCTAAACAGTGATGTGCAAAGTCAAAATTTCCCATTTTATCGTGTAAATAATAGGATAGTACATCATAAATTTGGGGGAAAATGGAAATTAAACCAGCGCAAATTAAAATTTCTGCATATAATATTGTGTAGTACGGAGTATTATTTTTTATGTTTCTTAAAAAAATGATTTAATAAGATGAAAAAGTGTTCAACACACTTAATTTGTGAAGGAGTGTATCTTTATAAGTTTATAGACATTAATTATCAACATATATTATTCTCATAAATGAATCAACCGATTAATTAATTAGTACATAAGTAAAAAGGATTTGACAAGTTTGACCGTCACGTAGAATAATAAAGTAAAAACTGTGTGGTAAAGATTTGTGCAGAGGATAGAGAAATAACAGGAGCCACAAATTGATTTATTAAAAGGGAAAGTGACAAAGTTTTTGGGACAACCAAAAAATGAAAGTTGATAAAGTTATAAGGGACGGGAGTAATAAAAGAATTTTTTTCAAAGCAGAGCTCCGTATTGTTTTCAACTTTTAACGAAATAATGGCCGCCATTTTAATTTGCACTGGCCGCAAAGTAGAAAGCATTCTTTTTTATTATGTTTACACAACCCTAGCTAACTTTATGAAAGAAAATCAAGGAAGCTAAGAAAGAAATCATGGAAAGAATAATTCGAAAGAGGGCAAGTCCTGTAATTTTTAAGGTCCAGGGGTGAAATTTTCATGATCTCGTTTAATATGTATGAAGATATTAATACTCCATATTCAAGAGTAATAAATTAATATTAATTACTTGTCACCAATTTCGATATTAATACTCCGTATTCAAGAGTAATAAATAAATTGATACCAGTTTTATTTTAATTTGCATGCTTTTTATATATGCGTACGTAATATGTTCTCACTTATTAATCGATTGTGATATTAGTTATGATGAGTCTTAATTAGGTAACATAACAACTCAATCTTGGTCCAAAAGGTTGAATGCCCAACCCCAAGGCCCCACCCCGACCTGACAGGATGGTGGGGAGGTTAATCACGGCGACTCAGTTAGCAAAACGGGATAAGTCTCATACACGTGCGCACAGGGGCGGACCCAGGAAAGTCATTTTGGGGGGGCGAAAATATTTTGGGGGGGGGTTCAAAATACTTTTTGGAAGAGCAAAAATTATTTTTCGTATATATATACACTAAAAAAAAATTTGTTGGGGGGGCGGTAGCCCCCCTGGGTCTCTACTACGGTCCGCCCATGTGTGCGCACCAAAGGTCCAGCCTTATTTCAAGTTCAGTAACCTCCATACGGCCGCTACGGGTTTCGAACCTTGGTCACTTGGTCCAATTTTCCCACCACTCGACTAACTGAGCTACCCGTGCGGGTAACATAACTACTCAATCGAGCACGTATACTGTATACCCGTTTGTGTGGTGTTCACCATACAACCAGATATTTTGTCTATACTTAATAATGAGTATAATGTTAAAAGAAATGAGCATTAATGTTAAATCAATATTTTGGTAGCACAACTAAGAGCTCGTTTGGTGACCTTGTTTTTCGGTTTAATTTATCAGACTTATTAGCTACTTTTTCATCAAACACATGACTTTTGATTTCGCACGTTGAATTGTGTAATAATAAGAAAAGTTAAGGTTGAAGTTACCTTTCTAGCTGTATTGGTTGAAGTTATTGGAAATAATCATTTTAGCTATTTTTCATATAATTTTTTCTTTATTTTACTAATAAAATATATTTTGAATATAATTTTTTCTTAAATCAACAGAATTAGTTAATCCGGTCACTTCAGCCAGAATTTCATAAGTTTCAGCCTAATCAGCCAATACAGCCGATTTGGGTATTATCAAACGGACTCTAAGTATAGAAGTTTGCCATAAAGTATTATTTCGTATGATCTACACGTGATATACATGTCATGCTACAAATTGACTTATTTATTTAACTATACTATCATCATATTGTCATAAAAAATATTCATTATTGTGCTGATTTTATAATAATATGATACTAATATTCATTTTCATTTAAATTATAAACTCATTAAGTATAAATTAAAATACTCGATTATATCATGCGCATGATATAACTGATTGTACGAGATAATTCACCCCTAGATTATAGCATTATATTGTGTTGAATTGCACGAGTCAAATGAGGTTGTGGACTTTTCAGAACTGCAAGAGTTGATTGTTGAGCTAGCACAACTTTGGGGAACTCCCTTTTTCTCCAAAGAATTAGGAGTAGGCTAGGTCTCTGCAATTCCACCGGTCAAGTTTTGTTTTTGACTTTTCAAAATGGTTTGTTGATTCGAACTTCGGCGAACAACAGATTAGCTAGATAAGATGATAAGATATGCAATTTCGATATTTGTTTACGACTTTTCTTTTTAAGAAGATAATAATTAAGTACGAAATTTGGGGAGGCTTGAGGGAGATATTTCCACCCTTCTAAATTATTTTTCAATTTTAGTATGTGTAATCATTTTTAGATTTCACTTTTTGTGATTAAATAGAACATTTATAGATACTCCGTATATAAAGTTTTGAACGGTTAAGTTGATAATGCGACACTATTCTAAACTATTGTCGAATCCAGAAATTTTGTAAAGAGGGACATTAGATTATAAGTCTAGTTTTGAACTCATTGAGACCATTCTATCATAATACTACCGTGTTAAAAATGAAGTACTAGCTATAATATAAATTTGTTATTCCACCCTTCAATACAATTTTATTTAATAATAGTACCTCCGTCCCGAAAAGATTCGTTATATTGACTTTTCTTGGTCAACGATGACAAAATTTGGATAATGACTTTAATTATTATATATGTATATAATCAATAAATTTTATACTTTTATGAAAATATTTTAAATAAGGAACATTTTAATACTGTATAATTTTCATATTTTAAATAATTTCGTATTAAAAATGTCATTGCTGGTGAAAGTTGATTGTCATTGACCAAGAAAAGTCAATTTGGCGAAACTTTTCGGGACGAAGGGAGTATGATTTTATATATCTAACTTCTATAATATTGCAGTACAAAATATCAAAAGGTCTCTCGATCTATTACAAATTGACACATTTTTTCATTATATATTTCTTTCAAGAACAAAATTAAGTTTTCCATCTATTAACTTAATCCATATATTAGGTTTTGTCATACCTTAAACCTCCTCTAACTTTACAGCAACATTTTTCATACTAATAAGCCAAAAAAACATCAATTCCATATTTCAAAGAAAGTTTAGTGATCATACCAACAACTGCATGGAATCCCTCCATCATGACTTCTTTGTCATTTACATTTTTCATTATAATTTATATGATCTTTGATGAAATTAGTCTTACATCTAATTTTTTTATGTTTGGGAAGGGAGGGACAATTTTTATCGTAAGTACTAATACTACAACTTTAAGGTCAGAAGCGGGGCACTTACCCCCCCAGGACCCCCTAGGTCCTCCACTGATTCTGTCGGGTCGGGGGTGTGGGGGCATCTAGGGTGGGTGATTCCACCTTTTGGGTTGAATCGTTAAGTTGCAAAATGGACGGTTTGGGGCGAAGGATTAGTGTTGGAGTAAGGGTATGTTTGAGACAATTACTTGTACAGTTGTATAGATCTTTTTGTGAATTTTTTAGTGACTATTTGTTTTTAGTCACTGAAAATATCTTAAAAGGAAAAGGTGAGAATTGTTTGTTAAAAAACTGACTGTTTGATTTAGTTCTGTTTGGTATACAAGTTGTTGAGACTAATTAATGCTAAAATCACAGACTATTCTCAAACGATGGTACTTCTTGTAGCATCTAAAAACTTTCATGCCAAACATACAACTAGA